GACTCACTGCGTGTGCTCGTGTGGGTGTGACTCACTGTGTGTGCTTGTGTGGGTGTGACTCACTGCGTGTGCACGTGTGGGTGTGATTCACTGCGTGCGCACTTGTGCGTGACTCACTGTGTGCCGCTCTCCACCAACCGCGCCAGCACGGCAATGCCGTCCATGTTGATGAACTCGGTGGCGAAGGTGGCGTCGGCGGACAGCTTGGCCAGCTCCTTCAGGGCCTCCAGCCGTGCGTCCATCCCGTGAGACTGGATCCTCTCCAGGAGCTGCCGGGCGGCGCGAGTCTGCAGATCACAGAGGCACAGCCTGAGCGCACAGCACGACCCTCCCCACACACCGCGACTCTGCACCAAGACACACGCGCACCCAGCAAGCCACCGTGTGCACTGGGCAGCCACGTGCCCCGTCCGAGCACGGTTCTCCTCCGGCGCTCCATACTTCTGCTCTGACCTATCATACTACAACAGCACCGCAGTTAAGCAGGGTCCACATGTGTAAGGCCTGTATAAACCTACACGTAAAACATATTCATGGTATATTACACGCTTCTGATATAACAAAACTGCACTACTAAGTGAAAGCAAGTAAACTGATACAAATGTTTAATGATATTAAATTCCAAAGCTCTCCATTTCCCAGGATTACTAGGGTGCTGTGGAATCCATGAATGATTGTATGATGTCAAGCAATATTCCAACTGGCTAAGATATTTTTTGATTAATTCCCTGTACTTTTTTTTTAGACAACTTCTCACTTAACGTTGACGTAAACCGGAGAAAATGACTGAAACCACTGGCAAAAAAAATGAAATTGAAAGCTTCATTTTCAACCTCGGCCCTTCTTTTTTGTGAATGCAGAGAGGAAGGCGGGAGACTCACAGGGGAGATTGCGAGGCGAAGGATGGTCCCATTCTTGATTTCACCCCGGCTCTGAAACAGACCGCAGTGAGTCAGCGTGGGGCAGTTCACCAATAACCTACAACTGGCCGTGTGTCTCATCCTGCGATACCAAGGGAATAATCCGAGCTCCACAACACCCGTACATACAGTACTACAAACTCGACACTCAGCTATGGCTTTGCAAAGCCTGTTCAAAAGAGTTCAGGGGCGCAGACAGTACAATTTAAGAATGGTTAAGATGACAGAAAAGTGGACCTCAAAATTACATCAACCAACTGGAATACCAAAATCATCTATCACACGGCCGGTGAACAAGCATTGATAGCACACTTTTATTGCATGAACACTGATTCCAACATGGCTCTCTCTCTGCAGTGCTGCTGATTTAAAAAGAGCTAGTGAAAGTCCTGTAAAGCAGCAATACTGCAATGGGTGTAGCGTATAGCATGGAAGTACAGCCAGACGAAGGAAAGCAGCTCTTCTGGCTTAGTGAGTGCATAAGTGTGCCAAAGTCTAGGAGACTGAGGTTTGATTCCTACACACAGCTCAGTCCAAAAGCTTCTAACTTCTTTGGCACCCAAAACGCATGAACGCCTAAACTGCTGGTGTCCCTAAAGACTCATGCTCATAGGCTCATTAACTCCCACTGGACCAAATATATTTTTTTCTTAATAATGCATAACACAATATCACAAAAAACACAATGGCAGGCCCTCTAAGCAAAACTCTTTGGTGTGCTGGTAAGGCCAACAGGGTCCCACGTGTGATAGGGGTAGACACAAGGGACAAGAGAGTGATCCCTGCCATGGTGAAACACGGTGACACCCAGAAGTCTTTGCTGAATGCTTGTTCTCCTTCTCTGCTCAAGAGAGGATGAGAAGTCTGGATGTGGGTCTCTGCCACCCCCACCTGCAGAGCCATGCATCATCTGACCACAGGTGTGGAAGCATTGAGTGGAGGAATGCACTCACTGACCGCACTGGAAACCAGTCACGGGAGTCACCTCTGCCAATTGTGCACCACTGCTTAAAGAATCACTTTGGACCCCAAAAGAACTAACACCTACACATGGCTCCACCACGACTAGAGGTTTCTACGATCTTGACAGCAAAGGCCCTGCGGAACCAAAATCAGCCAGTGAAGCACAGCAGCCCCTCTAGGGCCATACGCTGCTGCACCCACTGTGTCTCTGCACATCACATCAGCCACTGCCCTAACAGAAGTGTTAGTACTCGGACACAAAACTAGCTGACTTACAAGTATATTAAGTGTTTGCATTTGGAAGGTGAGCACACTGCAATATTCTAAAATAGCTTGTATAATTAACACACCACCTCAGACGAGTCCTAAACCACCTTATGTTTTGGACATTGGTGTGGTGTGCAGTGCCCTTGAAGTTCTGGTGCAGGACAATTTAGGCCGATTAGAACAGAGTGACTGGGCCCCAGGTTATAGCGTTTGTGGTTCACCTCGGGACTCTCTATAGTGTTTTTTCTTCATTATTTATATGCACCTTTGCAAAGACAACTATATTTTTACATATGAATCAATCACAGCCTTTATTGGCTGACTTGAACTGGATGAAAGCATGGACCCCTTAATCACCAGCACTTCTGATACAGGTCTAAAGAATCCAAGCTCATATCATGGGTGTTGTGCTCTAGACCACAGCCAGTGATGCACTGCACTCCAGGGACCATCAGGGCCCAGACACAAGGAGGCATGTGGGTTGATAAGAGGGAGACCAGTTGCCTATGATCTTATAAGAAAGGGGTCGATGAGGAGCCAGCAGGCATCCTACAAGCAATGAGGTCGAAGGGCAGAGCTGACAAATCCCATCCAGCCCCATCTTTCTTATCACCCACCTAGGGCAATGTTCAGGAGCCACTCTGAAGAGCAGAAGTTGGGAAGAAGTAAAATCATAATTATTAAAATGGTCTAATTTCTATACATTTTAGAGGGCAAAGCTTTAATTTTAAGCCAAATAATAAGCCCTTGTTGTCTTCGGAAAGCATTACATTCAGTACCTAAGAGTATTTTACTATGTGGGATTTGACCCTTGCAAATTCTTTGAAGCAATTCTTACAGCACATAAATGATACTAGTTACCATATGGCAATTGACAAAATCCGCTTTTTTAGCTGCGAAAAGAAGTAGCCAAAGAAGTAATTGTTCTTGGCATCCCCCATTCATATGAAAACAGAAGTACAGATTTCAAATCTAAGAGTACACGTCATTCATTTAAAAAATCTTCCCAACATCAGAAGTAGCCTCACGTAGTATGTTTACTTTGCTTTCTAGTAATGGCTAGCTGTACAAAGTGCTACAGTAAATGTCAGAGGTAATCTCACACTGAAATGGTGTGTCGCAATGGGGCTATACAACTGTAATAAGCTAACATGACACGGACTGTACGGTACAAGGATTAAACTCACCTGTTCTGTGATGTAGAGCTGGGGACCGTCAGCATATCGCAGAGCAAACTGATCAGAGCCCGACAGAGACCAGCTACAGAGAAGAAAGCACAGCCTCAGCTCAGACTAGTTTTAAATACAGTCACACAAAGAAGGGGGCACAGTCTTTGCAGGCATGACAGAACCCAGGTTTTTGTATTTTCAAATAGCACAGAACTGTTGCTGCGAGTCTGGCGGGGTTATACTGTATATCTACATTTGATTGTTGGCAATCATCATGTGAGCATAAATTTTTCATTAAAAATGTGTGGATTGCAGGCCATTTCTTCCACACAGCAGAAATAAGCGAACAACCTGAATTCTGAAGTTCTGTTCCTACTTAGCTGCTAATTATAAATATTAACTGAGTAGCAGACTGCAAATGCCCAAACCAGATTTCAATAATAATAAAATAAGAATAATAGGTTGGAAAATGGAAGGGTGAATAAGAATAGGAAAGTTGCAATTCAGCAATCTATCAGTCCTTTAGCATAAAACAAGCATAAATACAAATGTATTGTTTATCGGAGGGGTTTTTAGCTGATTATGCTTAATGGATAAATATAGCAAATGCATCAGAACACTGTGAACATAATAGCTGACTTCCTTTATTTTGCAGAACACTGCCTCCAGCACAACAGGTTGTTAGGACACTAATAAAATTAGGACTACCATCTGTTTGACATTCTTTCTAACTTTATTAAGGTTGAGGGTATTGTGGAACGCTGCTAGCTTAATTATAAATACAGTTAATCCTGCTGGTGGCTATTTCTACATGCATATTGACATTGAATATCATGTATGTATCAATAAAATGTAAGTTCGTATTTTACAAACTAATGTATAAACTTGATTTGGAAAAATCCTCTCAGCTGCATTGAATTAGTAGTGTTAACAAAACGAATAATAGTACTATAACTACTGAGACATACAGTACAATTCCCAACCAACAAATCCAATGCATTTTTGTAGTCATTTTTAAAGATTTCAAACATATATATAGACTGAAGGGACTAAAAACTGAACAACAAAATGAGTAATGGAGGCAACATTATTTCCTAAATTTTTTACATCACTCAATATATATTTCATATCCCACACAGCCCACTATATCAAGTGTATCTACAGTGTGTGACTCAGCTGAACCTCTTTGTAGTTTTTTCACAAGATGTATTTTGTAGTAAATATTTGAAAAAGAAAACCGCTTGAAGCTTGCATTACCCACCTGTCAATAAATCATCCACTCTAATACAGTGCAACATGGTATTTGTAGGAGCTGAGTTATCCCAGTCCCCAGTTGAAGTACATTTTATCAAGTAGTGAACGCCTTAGAAACAAAAGACTGGAACAAAGACTCACTATGGTGATGTGCAGCGTGTTTTACATGGAGCTGCACCAGAGAAAAAGCCTGTAACCCACTGGTGTGGTTTTCACTCATACTGTACCAATCCACAGCAGAAGATGCCACTCTTGAACCAACAGTGATGTACCATAGATGTCAAACTACAGAATGTTGACACAACATTAACAAGGAAAACAAAAGCTAATATACTTTTTATTCTTTAAGGGTTTAGTTTGACTGTACAAGTCATTATAATGAAAATGAGAATGAGAAGGAACTCAATCTAGCTCCTGTCCTACGCTTCCTGAGTCTAAAGTGAAAAAGACAATGATGGCAGCAGAATTTCCATGAAGCTTTTTAGCTTCAATATTCAATAGCTTCAGTATTTCAATAAGACTGTCCAGGTGACGGAGCACTTTCAACCACCAGTGTATTTAGGTTTTAAAACTCCCCCCAGGTCAGACTTTGAAGAGGTAAGTTACTACATGTTCCCATATCTTTACTGAGAAAACCAGACATTTTTTATATAGCTCTGAGATCATGTTAAAACCTGTACATGCTTCTGAATTCAGTGTTGTGATGATTAGTCTTCACTAGCCCTCTCTACAGACATGTTACCTAAAACAATGAAAAATGTTCACCTACAGAACTCAGATTGAGACAACCCAGGGAAAAATATAAGACTTGATCTGTACAACACTTCCACTGCAGATTTTACAAGCCAGACATTCTCATGCAGTTTGTATGAATGCAGCAGGAAAGCAATATGTCTAATATACAGTATTTCATGATGTACTCATGAAATAGTATTAGACACCAAGTATCTAGAGTGAACTTGCTGTCAAATATCACCAGCTCAGAAAAACTGAGCAGAAATGCTAAGCAGTCAGATTCTTATCTCCCTTCTTCTCAAAAAAGCTGTATGGTTGCATACTTTATGATATATTTCCCCCTCCACTGTATAACTTCCAGGAATAACTGAGGTTTGCAACCATTTTTGGCCATCACTCATTTGTTTGGTGGTAAAATTCAAATTAGATCAATTCCTGTCTCAGGATGCTTTTAGTGGAAGGACTGACTCAGAGCTAACTGACATCTGTGTCTGCTAACACTAAATAAATGTGATATTTTATGATTGATTTTCTCATTACAGTTAATTTATGCGTCTAAATGGGTTTTTACAGTCTGATTATTTTGTTGCCTATATTCAGCAGCAGCAATTTGGGTCGTGTAAGGTCAACATATTTTTATTCACTGAAAGATCTTTTTCATAGACAGGTGCCACAATGACCACTTAGGCACCCAGTGCACTTTTAAGCACTTTTAAAAACAAGAAAGAATTGTGAAATGGGGCATGGCTGTGGAGCTTTATTATTCTATTTGCGATCTGCATTGCGTCTTTATTTAGTACCAAATACTGATTCTTGTATCTCATATTTTGTACTGAAATTCTGCATGGTTTTTCCTACTGTTATTCTCTCCATGATTACGCAAAATTCAGAAACAGAAGGCGAGAAGGAGGTCAAAAAAGACGTCGAAAGAGGAAAAAGAGAGAGGGAGACAGATGGTGGAAGATTAAGAGACGAAGAGGGACATTGACAGGCTAAGACAGAAGTCAAAAGAGAAAATCAAGGGGAGACACCGACCGCAGAGGAGGAGGACAACGTGTCAAGAGAGGGGAAGAGAGGGGAGGAAACGACGCAGGAGGAAACAGAAAGTGGGTGTTGGAGAAGACAGCAGAGGGCTATGGGGAGGCTGCGATACAGAGAGGGGGTGAGAGAGAGGAATTGAGAGGAGGGACGAGGCACTGTAAAAGCAGCAGTGTTCGACAGAAGCAGTGTAATTAGGGTGATTATGTAAGCAGCAGACACTTCCAGAGCTGAGCCTGGCTTCCATCTGTGAACCATTAACCCTCCTTTATTACAGCCTATTAGTTTGGGGTGAGGGGGGGCTGGAAGGACAGTTGAGTCTTTTCTTTGCTGCACAAGCAACACTTCTAAAGCAGTTTCTGCTCAGCCAGGCGAAAAGGCACACAATAGCCTTCACATTCATGCTTGAGTCACTGAAGGCAAACGTAGTCCTGGACACACCACAAAAATTTCTCATTCAAAATATTTTGCAGTTACGTTTGACTTAACGCGGGCCTATGTCAGTTCCTTCAGAGTCAACTATAACAGTTTTACCCTTTCTCTGTGAAATTGAAATGCACGAAACAATTCTATTACTACATGTTGTGATAGAAAAATAATAACTGGATTATAAATCATTATTTATTATGATTAGTGTATCTGGATGATGTTTTATGCAAAGAAACCTAAATTTAATAATTAATTAACTGCATTTACATAGTGCATTTTACTGCAGAGGATGTCAAAATGCTTTACACTGAAAAGCGGGATCACTGCATCCACTGACGAAGTGCAGCTCCCACCTGGGAGACGCAAGGCAGCCATTACGTGCCAGATCAGATAGACAAGTGAGAAATTGCTTCACCACATGAATTAAGGGCGAATTTTAAGAAAGCTAGATTATATCAACCCAGAGTGGACTTTAGCCAGGATTCTAGGATCAATACACCTGCTTCTACAGAGTCTGGGACCTTGAATGACCAAGTAGGCAGGACTAGAGTATAAAATGTCATCCAACAAATCAACAGCCAACAGCACCTCCTCAGCTCAATGTCTCTGCTTCAGAGAGAAGAGCTCTGAACTTAGTGGTATTTCCATGGACCAGGGAAGGTAAGCACAGTGAAAACACAGGAGGGACTTTTGTGTTACAATACAGTCAAGACAACCCTCGTACTTGCAGAAGAGAGTTGAAGACAACACTCTCCCTCCGTTCACACTGTGAGCCCATCGCACAATCGCCTTAATTGAAGCACCAGGTGGAGCTTAGATGCAGCTCTCACTGATATCATAAGGAGAGGCTGACCTTCATACTGCCACCCCTAACAGTACAGTTGTGTACTGCTCCCTTTGGGAAACCAAGCTACTCTCCTAATGACGATGCCCACTCTCAGACTAGCACACTCTGGACTACAGGCCCATGGTTTTCCTCTGTGCTGTGAAAATATTTCCATTTGGAGCTGTGGCACTGTGGCTAAGGATTTGCGCCTGTGCCAGGAAGGTTGCCAGTTCAAATCCTGCAGCCGGCAAAGAAATCCTACTTCTTTGGGCCCCTGAGCAATGCCCTTAACCCCAGCTGCTCCAGGCTGACCCTGCGCTCTGACCCCAAGCTTCTCTCTCCCTGTATGGAGAGCAAACAGGGGTATGTGAAAAGACAAATTCCTAATGCATGAAATTGTAAATGGCTAATAAAGTGGTCTTATCTTATTAAATACAGCGTGTCAGTAGCAAAAGACCAAGAAAAAAGTCCTAGCACTTATTTCAGTATTTATCACAAGACAAATATTAAGAGAAAAGTAAGGAGAGGACCAAGGACAAGAAAAACAACCGCTCACACATTTCTGTTGAAAAAATCCCCAGCAACAGTGTTTTAGTAGAGGTACAGCCAGATCAGCCAACTCTTTTAACTCTGTACCCACTGACATGTTTAACAAACCGCTTTGGTTAATAATAATTAATAATTGAAGAGTCCCTGTAGGAAGCTTAAATGCTCCTGTTTGATTTTTGGACAGAAGGAAACCATTTTTTTTGTTGTCGTTGATTTTCTGGCAGAATATTCCTTGTGAAGATATGTTGAGGTCCTTACCCGTCACACACCTCCCGGATGATGGAGGAGAGAGGCTTCTTCTGCAAAGAACAAACAGACAGGGTGAGTTTCAGATGCCCCACCTCCTCTCCTGCAGCCCCAGGGGGGTTCGAGAACCAGAAGGAGACTCAATATATTGAAATGAAAGGTTCACATTCTCCAAAATGTAAAATGAATTTGTAATCTGAGGTTTTTTATAAGACTTTGTGGCAAATCTTTTGTGAAAGTCTGACCCCCTCCTCCAAAACAATAATGAGCTGCTCCACAAACAGTGGAACGACGTGGTGTTGCACAATGTCGGCACCCATGGATTCAAAGCCATCCTTCTTAATAACCATCTGCCTCAATCCCTGTAATGATTTCGCAAAGTCATGATGCAGATGTTTGTTGTTGGGTCTGTCTGTTTTGAGCTTGGAGATGTATAACATTCATGTTAACATGGTAGGGTCCAGTAGACATGGCACATTTTTCGCAAATATGTCTTGATTTGATAAATTCTTGTTCGTAAGATTAACAACATCAGAATGAAAGTCTCATCAAGCTCATCTTAACTGCCTGCAATTAACATCAAACCTTAACAAAAATATCCAGCCTTAATGTGTTTAGAGGTTTGCTACAACACGTTACAAGCATACTACAGTATATATAATGTGTGTACATGTTATGACAAGTAACCCTACATGTAAATATTCAAAGATATGTTTATACTCTGCATTTTTACCTTTAGACAATGAGTTAAGGCAATAAAAAGGCAAAACTGATTTTTAGACAAGTTAAAAATGTCAAAGTTAAATTGAGAGATATTATATTACAATTGTGCAATTTACTAGTAATAGCTAATAAGAATTTTGAAGATTACTTCTGTTACCAAGTTCCAAAAATGTTATTACTGGAATCGCTTTGGAATCTTACTTTAGAATTTGGCCCAGTGAAGAGCGCACAGGTAGACTGAACTAAGTTCCACCCTAAATGAAGTGGTTGACAGACTGAAGAACTCAATGTTTTCAGTCTTCAACACAGATCTCCAAAGTATTCAAAGTTCCTCAAGTGCAAATTCGACCTATTGGACTGCCTCAGGATCCAGAGTGAGACACACCAGGGGCCACATGTGGAAACTACAGAAAAGTGAAACTGGAATTGAGAACAGAAGGTATTTTCACACAGAAAGCTTGTGGGTGTCTGGAATAAACTACCCAGCCATGTTGTCAGAAGGAATACCCTGGCTTCTTTCAAGACACAGTTGGCTGAGATCCGCAGAACAATTACGTAATAAGAAGCAAATAAGATATATGGGACAAATAGCTTTGTCTTGTTTGTAATCTTTATATGTTCTGTCCATCACAGCGGTTGTGGTATGCTGCTCCAGTGTAGTGAGTTTACCTTGAACTGAATGAAAAGGTAGGAAGGAGAGGAGAGGCTGAGAGACAGAGCGATGAACATGGTGAACGTGAAGGGAGTGAGGTTGACATCAGAACTAGAGGAGAAACTGAGAGTTATAGAGAACGTCCAAGAAGAGGTGATTCGACAAGCCGAATGCGGGAGGAAGGAAAAGAAAGAGCAGGGTCAGCTCAGAGAGAGGGAAGAGGCGTCAATATATACACGTGTGTGGCTGTTTCTCTTTCACACGCTGTTTGTGTTCTTCTTCCATGGCTGTGAAAGAGGTGAGGCGGAGGGCAGAGTGTGCTAGCAGTCCGTCTGTGTGTGTGTGTGTGTGTGTGTGTGTTTCAGCGAGGGGGAGACCCATGTTGTTTGTCTGTGTGGAGCGGCTTGCGCGTTTGCGCGAGCTACACTGTTTCTGTGACCGTCTGTATGCAATTCGTCACCATATCGGTGTGTTGAGGGCAGGTGGGAAGCCTTGGGGTTTTTGTGTTCTGAGATTTTGTTTCAGTGATGTGAAATCCGAAACTGCCACTCATCTTCTTTCTGCATAATCTGGAACTCCTCTCTTGTTTCTCTACTCGGCTCGCTGCTGTGTTTCCCTGCAATGTGCCAGGTGCCCCTTCTCACACTGCAGGGCCCACAGTGACCGCAGGAGAGGCAGTGTGGGTGGAAAGAGTCATGCATTGCCACCAGAGTACCCAGTCCGGAGACCCTAACCCACCAAACGAAGACAGTGAGCTGTGTGTCGCCATCTGGGGAATCCTGGTATCAGTCAGCTAACGATACAGCCCAGACCTGACTCACTAACCTCTGGACTACAGGACTATGTCCACTGTCTGTGGGCTTCATGCATTCATTAACTGTGAGCATGGAAATGTTCACATTTGCTTCTATATGTATTTTTTAATATTGACTGCCCCTTGAATTAGAATTTTACTGTGAATTGAATTCTGTCGTCAGTTGCAGGTACCTAGATTATTCAATTGCAATTTGGGGTTCTGCGTTTCCTCAGTCATTACATTTAAAAATCTCAGTGTCACTAGTGTTTGTTCTTGCTTTTGAGAATACTTGAGAGTTGTGGGAAACCTCTGGGTGACAGCGAGGGGAAATAAAAGCATGAAGATGCTATGAATTTCTATAAATTATACCACACAGGTTTTTTTAATATTGCTATTTCAATTTGTTTGCTGCCCAGTTTGTGCTAGCCTTATTTTCTTTTTATTCAATACGTTTTACTTTATCTGAATAATTGTCTCTTATACCAACACACAATGTGAATGCTGTAGATTGTACCTGTACAAAATGTTAAAGGACAGGTCCTCTAACAAAGAAAAACTACAATTTTATCGGTTTATCGATTTATCGCATGGAAACATTGTCTCAACAAAAGACAGAAGAAGTACGCTCTGTGAATAAGGAAGGAACTTAGTAATTTAATGTGCTTGTTAAGAGCAGTTCACACTTTTACTGTACCTGTCCTCACAATAATAAAATCTGAAAGCACTTTACCAAAAGGCTGAACACTGAAGTTCAGGGAGTCGGGGGCAGGAAACAGACTTTAACCTCCACAAAGGCTTCAGCCTTTAAATGGCAGGGAGGGGGATAGCCGGGACACTGGGACAAATTGTTAACAAGTCCCCAAATGACATAACAATAGGCTAATAATCCCCATCCATGAACTGGCTTCATAGCTGGTGGTGGTGAGTGTACCGGCGCACTCTGGCTGCCGTCACATCATCCAGCTGGGGCTGCACACTAGTAGTGGGTGTTGGTGGTGGTAGTGGGATTCCCCATTACCTATAAAGCGCTTTGAGTGGAGTGTCCAGAAGAGTGCTGTATAAGTGTAAGGAATTATTATTATTAAATGAGAACCAGCTCTGTATTTTCTGATCATGGCCTTGTGAGGTTCGCGCGCAGGAAGTGATTCAGCCCAGCAGTCCCTACTCATCGGTGGCAGGACTGATGCCACTGACCCACCTGGTCAATCTCAATGAGCTGGGCGTTGGCACCAGGCCACTCAATGGCCACCTTCACGATGTCGGCCGGAGGAGGCATTGCCAAGGTGCTGCTCACACCACACTGCAGGACAGAGAGACAGAAAGAGAGAGAGAGAGACGCGCGTTACTGATGACGTCTTCATCACTCCCCTCGCTGAGCTGCCAGCCGCACCACTGCCACAGACGAGACACGCCGAGGTACAGGGAAGAGGAACGGACCAGGCCCCACAGGGAAAGGCAGATGGCTGGAATGGGTGGCAGTCCTGGAAAGTTGTCTGTCCAAATTGTCCAGGAGGGAGCCTCCGGTCTCCACTCATTCCACAGCAGCAGGACAGTGAGCAGGGACGCAGTCTTGTGCGTGGGGACCGAGCTCACAGAGGTGGCAGGAATGTCCAGAGACCCAGCTGAGACCCTGGCTTGTCCTGGGCCTTTCTGGCTTCATCTAGTTCAGGAGAGGACAGGCTCTGTCTTACAACTAGAGAGACATCCACTAAATTTCCAGTCACACTAAGCCAAAATATGATCCTAGTACCAAATTGATAGGATACACGATGCCTCAACAGGGTTTGCAATTTACAGTATAATTGGCAGGTGTGTTGAAGTATTTTAATACAAATCTAATTTTACACCTGATTTTCCCTAAAAAAAGACAAGTTACTGAACAACATCTGTGAGGAAGCCAGTTCAAGAGTAAACCAGTGCAATATAAGACTTTCTTTTTTATTCGGATCCATTCTGATTTTTTAAATGCAGTTAACTCAGCAGAACTGTTCAATTTCCCCAATGAATTTCTGCATTCGCTGCTCAAACACACTTTGTGTGGCCATCTGTGCCAGACCCTGTATGATAGCCATCAAAGTCTCAATCAAACTACAAAGTGAAGACAAAAAATGCACCTGATGTTATCAGCACGTAAGCCTCTGTTATCACTAAATGGATTTGTTTGAGGCTGTGCTGTCTAAGGAGATACAAATTCAGCAGTACTGCTGCATTATAAGCTCAGCAAACTAAAATTGTTGCCTTATGCAACATAGGACACTTACATACAGTAACTAAAATAAAAACACTCTTATGTACAAAATTCACACATGCACCCATAGATGTCTGGGTGATCCTGAGATCAGTCTATCATCAGATACACCTCCAACCCATCCTGAGATATGAATGTCCTTTCCAGCTGCTGCAGAATTCCTGTGGTTAAAGGCTAAACTTTATTTCCTCCCTAAGGAAAACCAACCCATAATCTGTGCCAGCCCTGTTCCTGCCCTGCACTTCCAGCATGTTACAGTAAAAGCTTTAAGAGCCATACTATCTGAGGGTTTGCTTATATCTGGGATTTAGTGCTTCCAGTACTTGTCTTGAATAATTGTTTAAGATGGATTGTCACTGCCGTTTCACCCCCCATCAATTTAATCCTGACAATGTTTTAGCGATTTCATGCCACAGCAGTGCCACAGAGTTTTTAAACTGGGAAAATACAGGCCTGCAAACTTTTACACTCAGCATTTGATGATTCAATTGAAAAGAGAGTAGGAGTTTAAATATTGGTTACAGAACATACACAATAAATACCAATCGTCTCTCTAACCCTCACAAATTGTACAAGCTGTATTGTGTATTGACTCATTTTACACTGCCTAGCAATCTGGAAGGTATCCCTCTAGAACTGTTCAACCCATAAAGGTGCTTGGTTTAAAAGCAGGTTAAGCCCTATAGTCCAGACATCTCCAGTTTAAACCTGGGTTAGATCATAAGCTTAGCATGGCTGCATCAGGGGACTCATACGGTTGAGTACAACTGGCCAAGCACTACCAGCAGTGGATGGACGTGAACTGGCCAACTGCCCTTGGCTTATCACTACCAGCAACCACTGGTCCTGATAGCAGCCTCTGAGCTTGCAGCGTTCTCAGAGAGGAGCAGCCCACTTTAACTGTTGCTGCCTGTCCCCTGTGGCTCTGTGGAGCTCACCGACTCCAAAAAAGTGAATGGCCTGACCATGGTCCCATCAAAACATACTACAGACGTCTCCTTGTTCCCAGTGGCAAATCCTAACTGGGAGGGCATATAACACAAAATGTACACTTACCGGTTTAAAACCCAACCTAACATACTGAACAAGACAGTGTGCAAGCAGTGAGAAATAGGGAGGCAATCAATATTAACTCTATAATCAACTAAAACATTATTCAGTGTTTGCTCAGCATTCCAAATGCTAAACGGCCAAGTGGACAGGTCTTCAAACCTCATTAAAAAAGAGAAAATATTGGATTATTGCCACAAAACTGCAAAAATCAATGATATCAATCTGAAAACAATATATGAGAAAAAGATCTCAATATACAGTATACAGTATATACACACAGATTCCCTACCATATACCCAGGCCTTATCCTAGCACATTCTGTAGGATCTGATGCACACAATTCAAGCAGGAGCGTAATTTGGTGGTAGAAATTCTATAGGAAAACTAGGCAATGGCTATAAATTTAGATATAAAAGGCCTTTTCCCTCTAACTACAAACAGTGCAGGACTGGACAATGTACATTATTTTACTTTCTGTTCTTACAAGTATTTTGTTCATGTTTCCTTGTACACACAGCCTATCATGTTTTGATAACTTGATCAGGAAGGCTGTCTTGGTTAACAGTGTGACAGTGTAACAAATGTTAACAAACATTATCAAAGTTAAACTAGAAGTTTAGATTATGTTGCAACTGTAAAGTGTACAAACACTGTACTTTAAGAAAATACTGAAAAAATACTGCCTTTGTAGCGCTGTGCTCTTGTCTGACCTATACAGCATCTCAAAGAGATAAATTAAAGATTTAACAGTGTGGGCAGGAGCTGGGGGTTATAGGAATACTTAAGACAGCCAAAGAAATTCAAAGACTGATAGTCTTAACAGTTGTTGGGGCTGAAGAGTTAAATACATGGGAGATCCTAAGAGTCCACCAGCACTGGCTGTTCAGATCTGGCCATAATAAACTGTGATGTGCCAGATAGAGTAGGATGGACAAAATTAATGTTAGTGAGTGGGTGATGAGAGACTGTGTTTGTGAGTGTGTGGCTCGCTGCCCTTTGCAGATCCTTTGTGTTTGGTTTTGTACGCCCAGCTGCGTAGCTTTTTGGATTGTGTGCGCTTGTATACATGTGTTTTTGTACTATACCATTTTTTTAGCCTACATTGCATATCAGTAGAAACTCGCATGCCTGCGCAGACATGAACAGGAATCTCTATCGAAGTTTCAATCTGGATGGCGCTGCCTGCACTGGAATGCTAATCAGGTCTAGGCTGCGTCCTCCATAGCTCTCAAACTGTAAAAAAGCTGTCATGCAATAAATTTAAAGTACAAAATATTTTACTACAAATATTATATAGTATGTCTATATTGCAATACAAATCCAAACTACTAAAGAGCTAGTGTAGCATACACAGAATACCACGTAATCCTGAAATAATCTCTACAACATTTAAAACACAACCATCCCAGTACTTTCTACTTGCACTGATGGAGGGTTCTATCATGCAGAAGGCCTCCATTTGCAGCAGAGCCTGGGCTCCATGGCCTAGATGTCACTGATTCGAACCCCGGGCAGCAGAGCTCCAGTGACTGGGGATTTCCTGGCGCTACACAGCCGCCCACTAACACCATGAAAAAAACGTTCATGGTGTCGAGACCAAGGCTTGGGAGGGACACATGCAAGCAGTTCGCTTTTCTCTCTCTCGTGTAACAAAGTTGCATCACCAACCCAAGTCGCTTCAGAGATGGTGATTCCTAACAGCGGCTGTATAAAAGGAAAACCTTCCATTTCTAAACACAATGCCCTAAGACAATGGCTTCTCTGTTTACAAAGGATTGTAATGGTTATTATTGACTTTTCAGCAACTTTTTGTTTTTTGCTTTTGGTGTCTTGTTGCACTTGTCAGTGGGAGTGGGAGGTGGCGATTATAAAGTCACAGGTTAAAAAAAGTCCATCAGCTACATGAGGTGTTAGCAAACACACGTTTCTCAGTGTGGTCTTAGATGTGGTTGAGCAACGCAGAGCACCTCTCATGAGTAGCCGCTGCAGGTGTTAACATTGAAACAACGTACTAAATGCACAAGCGTGGGTCTCTGAATATGCGTGCATGTCATTGCAGACTACAGAAGTCTGGTAAGGGTTTCAGTACAGAACTATCACAATGGTTTCTCCCCCGCTGTGATAACTGAAGTACTGTAGTTGATCATACACATCAGTGCACAGGCAAATACAGTATATCACTTGGGCACAGGGCAACCTTGCCCATTATCTTTTACTGATAGAAGCTGAAAACACAAAACAAATGAAGCATTTTTAAATGCATTCAATAATTATTCTTGCATTACAAACTGGCATGCCAAAGACTGCTGATTATCCTTTTGAGAAGGAAAGAACTCCACTGTGATGTAGCAGCAAAAGACAAAGAATGACTGAGGAATGAAAAGTTCAAGACTATGACCTTCCTGCCAGCAGGAGCTTGCTGACATCTGGCTATAAACGTCTGCAATAGTGATGAGGTCTTTTATTTGCACAAGCATATATACTGTATGTGCATATACACACACATCCCTCAGGTACAAAGCTATAAAACTAGATCAGAGACAGCCTTTCTCAAAATATACAGTTATAGACATACTATCAATATATACATTTTTAAATATTCACACCCTATATTTGAAATGAATTCACTAGAAATCTTTACCACTTCTGAGACAAAAAAATGTCGTATCTGTCACATAATTATAGAGGAACAAACTATTACACTTACTGTTTCAGTGAATAACACTGCTGGAGGCAGAGGCTGTCAACACTCATGTCTACAACAGTTTATATATAATTTTGTTTTTGTGCTTTTGATGGTACAACCGAGAACCGAAAAGCACTTGTGTGAGCGGGGAAAACTGAGGAGGATTATACCATAAAAAAAGAAGACGCCGACTTGTTTAAAAAGCACAGCATGTTCAGACTTTCAAGGACTGGAGGTTTTCAAAAGCCTCAATCTCCTCCAGCTTCTTTTGTGCTGCGACTCAAAGCACATAGACGTGGCCACCCCCCCCTGC